AGGGGAAGCTATGTGAGTCTGTAACTTTAAACCGACAAATAGTCCTGGGGCACCTTAGAGACGAGCAAAACTTATCTAGAGTGGCAGGAGCTTTCGTGGGCACAACCCACAGAACGTGGGTTGGGCCACGGCCAGGTGAGCCTGCCCTGGCCTGGCGGTGGCTATCTCCTCCCCATGCATGTGCAGCATGCCACCCCCAGCAGCCCTGCCTCAGGAGCAGGCCCACCCACGGGAGCAGGCAAAGGGGACAACAGCACCGAGGCCTGGTGTTTCTAAGGGGCCTGGAGCGCCTGGCCGCAGACGGCAGCAGCGAGTCCCTTTGAAGTGCCACGACAATGCTGCTCCACCATTCTGCCTGGCTTTGAGGAGCTCCGCCCCTTCTGCCTGAGGCTCCGCCCATTGCAGGGGTGTGGTGCCGCCCCCACCTCTTGCGCCCCAGTGGCTGTCGGCCCTGCTGCTCAGGAGCTAACCACTGAGCTGCCAGCATAGGCTCCGGCTGGCTTCTGCGTGGAACGGATGGTGTTGGCTTTGAGTCTTAACTGGTAGGTGAGGTGCTCAGCTGAGCTGTGGGAATGGGATGGGGGCGGGGGTCGGGGATGCACAGGATTTCTGGAGTACGTGATGACTCCAGGTTTGGTGCAGCTGGTTGAATGTGCCTGGTGTGCGTTATACCAGGGCTGGTCAAACTTACTGGCCCGCCAAGCTGCATATGTCAACCGTACCAAATCCATGGCCATAAAAATGTGTGCCAAGGGCCATAAGCTCTGGTCTCCTCCCCGTGAAATCCGGTCTTTTGGGGGCTTTTACGCTGGACTATACTGATTCCACAGGGGAGACAAGCGTTTCTCCAATTGGGGTCCTGCCCTGAAAAGGAGTGGTGGGGGCCTCAGAAAAGCAGATTTGACTCCCACGTTCCTCTGGGATGCTGCCATGAAGGGGAAAGGAGTCCAGGAGAGCTGGCAGGATTTTAAAGAAGCCTTACTGACGGCACAGGAAGAAACCATCCCGATGCGCAGCAAGAAAAGCAAATAGGGTAGGCAACCAGATTGGTTTACCAGGGACATCCTTGGGGAGCTTAAACAAAAAGGAAGCTTACAAGAAGTGGAAGCTTGGACAGATGACTAGGGAGGAGTATAAATATATTGCTCAAGAATGCAGGGGAGTTATCAGGAAGGCGAAAGTGCAATTGGAATTGCAGCTGGCAAGGAATGTGAAGGGCAACAAGAAAAGTTTCTACAGGCATGATAGCAATAGGAAAGTGATCAGAGAGGGTGTGGGGCCCTTACTGGATGAGGGAGGTACCCTAGAGACAGATGACCAGGTCAGCTCTCAGACTACTGCACTAGGCAGTATGGGAAGGCGGTGGGCAGCCCTCAGTGGGAAAAGAACAGATTAAGAACTATTTAAAAAAGCTAGACATGCACAAATCCATGGGTCTGGATTTAATGCATCTGAGGGAGTTGGCAAATGTCATTGCAGAGCCTTTGGCCATTATCTTTGAAAACTTGTGGAGCGCTGCAGACATCCTGGATGATTGGAAAAAGACAAATGTAGTGCCCACCTTTAAAAAAGGGAAGGACGATCCAGGGAACTACAGACCAGTCAGCCTTACCTCAGTCCCCGGAAAAATCATGGAGGGGATCCTCAAGGAATCCATTTTGAAGCACTTGGAAGAGGGGAAAGTGATCAGGAATAGTCAACTTGGATTTATCAACGGCAAGTCATGTCTGACCAGTCTGATTAGCTTTTATGATGAGGTAACTGGCTCTGTGAATATGGGAAAGTCAGTGGATGTGATATACCTTGAGGCTACGTCTAGATTTATGAAAAAGGGATGCAAAGGGATGCAAATTAGACGTATCGCAATTGCTAATGAAGCGGGGGATTTAAATCTCTCCTGCTTCATTAGCATAACAATGGCTGCCGCTTTTTTTCGGCTCGGAGCTTTGCCGGAAAAATCGGAAAATAAAACCTTTTCCGAAAGATCCCTTATCCCTTATTTTACAAGCGGAACATGGCCTAGGGAGGAGCGAACGCTCCCAGGAGGGGTGGAAATGTTCAACTCTACCTGATGAATGAGAGTGTAAAACTACACTGAATGAAGGAGAAGCTTGTTTATGTTAGAACTTTTTCCTCCTTGTGCCAAGTTCCACTTGGGGCTGGAAAATCCAGTTCCAGTGCTACACAATGCGTTTCTGATTGCAGACTACCCATGCCTTGGGAGGTGAAGAAACAAACACAAGGGTGAGGCTGAAATGGAAAGTTAAAGATCAGCCCCCCTCTTGCATAAGACCGACTACTGATGTCAATGGCAAAAGGCCCATTCACTTTGGCAGACGCGGAGTCACTTGCAGAGAGGTCAGACTTTAAAAATAATCGTTCCCCAGAAAGCCACCCAGCCATATTTTTTTAAAAGTACAAACACAATTGTACGAAAACTCAGGTGTCCTTTAAGTCCTGGCCAAAGAGTCAAATGTTATGCCCTGATTCCCATCTCCCCAATATCACATCAGTCCTGGTACCTGTGGAGTTACTCCTTATTTACACCAACACACAGACGCCGGCCATTGCTGTGCACTCAGAGAAACTAAACCATGTTTAACTTTTAATAATCAAGGCACAATAGGTCTGCTTGGGGCTTGATATTGTGACAATACTCAAGCAGGGGAAAGCATTTGCTAACACAAGAGGCTAAGAGTTCCCCAAATCACTTAAAATACAAAGTAACCGCTGCCCAGGTTTACTTAGGGGGGAAAACAATGGGGCACAGTGCCCTTGCTTCTATATTTACCGTAAAATCTGGAGTATAATGCGCACCTGTGTATAATGCGCATCTGCCTTTTAAACATCAGAATTCTCAAATAAACGAAACTCTGATCTATAATGTGCACCCCTATTATACTCGAGATTTTATGGTATGCACAGGAAAGAAGGGGCTCGCACTTGCCGCGGGGCCCCCTACCCAGCCGAGTTCATGCCTGCCGTGGGGCCTCCTGCCCAGCTGAGCTCGCACCTGCTGGGGGGGGGTCTCCCCCACTCAGCTGTCGGCGTGCCAAGCTCGCACCTACCGGCCCCCTTCCCCCCCAGCCCAGCTCATGCCTGCCGAGGGTGAGTTTAAAACTTTTTAAAAAAAACTCCTATAGATAAAGCGCACCCCGACTTTGAAGCTAAAAAAAAGGAAAAAAGTGCGCATTATACTCGAGATTTTACAGCAGCTTTGACATTTTGCTTCCTAGTGAAACACACTACATATTTTTAATTCTCTCTACACACTTTTAACCAATAGTCAGATACAGTGTCACATTTACCCTACATATTGGTCATTGGCATTTGTGCCTATCGTTAATGACCCCCCCCAATAAAAAATCAGGCCACAGATGGCCACTTGGGAGGGTGTGTGCGTGTAAGCCATTCCAAACACTGATCGTTGGTGCCCTCCTGTGGTGCCTAAGAAAACAACACAACTGTTGATGGGGTTTTGCACCTGCAGCAGCGTAAGTTTAGCAAGAAGCAAGGCAGTAGCAGCTGGCAGGCAGGGTGTGGGGGGCCCAGAGGGATGGCACTAGCTGGGGAAATCAGAGCAAGCCAGTGACCCGTTGGCGGGCACGGAAGAAAGAAAAGCGAGGGGTTGGCAGGGCAGCAGCTCGGAAGGACTTGGAATAAAGATTCCTGAAGGAAGTCACCCGGCCCTGGGCAGTCGCTGACACAGCTGACAAAGGTGGGATACTGGAGCTAAGCCACAAGCCTCTACTGCTTATACGAAAAAGCAAAGGGCCACAGCTGTACAGGCCTTTAGGTACCTGCAGATGCTGATTGTGGGACTGTTCAATCTGGAGGCTACGGTTAACGTCTGTCCCTAGATCCACGGGCAGGACCTAGTAAACTCAGCTCTCTGGGCCCCAGGCAGTAGCAGGCACTCACCCGCCCCACGCTCCTACACTGGGTTACAGGAATAGTCACGAAACACTGTGCTGGGCATGGGCCCCCAAATGGTAGGGTGCACCCCCCGGCCGGCATGGAGGATGCGACAGGGTCCAGGTCAGCCCCCATCTTTCTCCACACAGTTCATGAACCACTCTGGTGCTGATGGGGGAGACAGGCCCCCTTCCCCACTGTAGCCCAGTGAGGACCATAGATGCCCAGGGAACTTTTACCCTCAGCATTTAGGCATCTGAATTCACTGAACACCCACAGGCTGCGTCTAGACTGGCAAGTTTTTCCGCAAAAGTGACTGCTTTTGTGCAAAAACTTGCCAGCTGTCTACACTGGCCGCTTGATTTTGCACAAAAGCACTGACGTTCTACTGTCCGAAATCAGTGCTTCTTGCGCAAATGCTTTGTCATTCCCGTTCAGGCAAAAGCCCTTTTCCGGAAATGTTTTTGCGCAAGAGGGCCAGTGTAGACAGCGAAAAACTGTTTTGCGGAAAAAAGCCCCACTGGCGAAAATGGCGATCGGGGCTTTCTTGCGCAAAACAGCGTCTAGATTGGCACGGACGCTTTTCTGCAAAAAGTGTTTTTGCACAAAAGCGTCTGTGCCAATCTAGATGCTCTTTTCCACAAATACTTTTAACAGAAAAACTTTTCCGTTAAAAGCATTTGTGGAAAATCATGCCAGTCTAGACGCAGCCACAGAGTTTGGTGCAAGTTTTATGGAGCCAAAACTGGCACGGAGAAGCCCACATCTGGGATTTAGGCAGTTAAGTATATTTGTGCATCGCACCCTAGATCAACTAGGATTGTCCGGCTTTGTCAATCAGCTTCTTGGAAGAGAGGGTGCTATTTACCTCGGGCAGGAAAGGAAACAAGGCGCAGAGAGGGCAGATGGAAGGAGCCGGGGTTGAGTCTGCCCTTGTCAGGAAGACCGTATGGCGGAGTAGTTGGTGTGGCTGGGTTAGGTAAGGCACCCTCACCTCGCCACTGAGAGGAAGGAGGGGTGCGTGTGTCTGAGTGTGTGTGTGAGAAAGAGACATCAGGTTAGAAACGAGGCAGCATGAGGTCACATTTCTCTCTATGATTTTACTGTTACTTGTAACACACACGAAGACATGCTTACAAATAAAATACAACCACCATGTAGCAGTGATAGTTGGGATTACAAACAGATACACTCAGGAGCTGAATGAAAATGGAGCTACATTCAAGTTACAGAATCCAGCCCTGAAAAGTTAGATAGTGGCCAGAAATTGTCCGACACCCCCTCCCCCCACTTGGGCATGACCAATAAACCAGTGGTTCTCCACACAGGAGCCACATAAACTTTCGGGGAGAGGGAGAAGGCTGTAAGGCATGGCTAAAAGCAGGACCTGAGCATCTCCCATGAGCCTGAAGCCAGGAGCCGAGCGGTTGAAGCCCCCATCCCCTGAAGTGGGGAGCAGCACAGCTGAATTCTAGACCCCGAGTCTGTGGGCTCCCGCTGGGGCAGAATCCCTGAGCCCATTGGTAGAGCTGGGGAGACGGGGGTACTGCCACTCCCCCCCCAGCAACTATACTGTGAGAAAGGGGCAGCTCCACCTCCTATCTCCTCCCCCCAGCCCCGTCAGCTGAGCATGTGCAAATGGAGACCGTCAGGGCTTGTATCTCTAAGGCCAGGTCTCCACTGCCATAGACATGGGTATAACTTACATCACGCGGGTGCAAATAAGCCACCGATTGGGGTTCTGCGTCGGTGACATGTCAGGTTGGTTCCTCTTGCCCATGTGCAGGGTGTGGTCATCCAGGTAGGTTTTTTCCTATTAGCATTACTAACGTGACACACACGTAAAGCAAAAGCACATGAAGTGCAGCGCGTGCTGATTGGTCACAACATTGAAGGAGAGAGCCGTGCGCTCCCTCTGCAGCCAATCAGAGCGCTGCTACGATTCAGGGGCACCCCTGCAAATTCAAGTCCACAAGAGCCGTTAACAATCCAACCCCTTCCTGGGAGACCGTGCTGGTTACCACGCTCTTGCAGCCACTGCCATGAATGAGAGCCACTCGCTCGTCTCTCGGTGCATCGTCACTGGACACAACACGGCTCGTGTGACTAGCCCCGGGGGTGTTTTTGTGACAACTGAAAAAGGCATCTCAGACCCCGACCTGTCACTTTGCCCAACTTCCGCTCCCTGCATCAAACCTCCAGAGGCAGGGCTGGACCGAGCCATTCCGGTGCCCCGGGAAGACAGTTTAATTGTGCCTCAGTTGGGGGAGGGCGCATGCGTAGCCCCGCCCCTGCCCGGCACGTGGGGGATTGAGCAGAGCTGGTGGCGGCAGGATGCATGTGCCTGGCCCGGCTATCGCCGCTGGTGCACAGCCCGGAGCTGCCCAGGGCAGGCCGAGCTTGGCCGTGCAGGGCCCCACGGCCGCGGGGCGAAGGGCGCTGCTGCGGGAGTTAACGCAGCCCCCGCCCTGGGTGGCCACTGCAGGGTGGCTGCTGGGAGCTGCTCCAGCCCGGGAGCCGGGAGCCGGGCAGCTGCCCAGCTAGCCCATGCCTTAATCCGGCCCTGCCCAGAGGAACCAGAGCACCTCAAAGAAATGGGTTTAAAAAAAAAAAAAGAGTGTTAACTTCCCCCTAACTCTGCTTTTTCCTGACATTCTTGGGAGCCGGGGCAGAGCCAGAGGCAGAGACCCCAGTGAAAATTTCAGCCCAGCTGGGTACATTTTGGCAAAGTCTATACAGTAAGCAGCCAACCACTTGCAACACCTAGACACAGTGTCGCCAAGAGCCGTGTAATAGGGACAGGTTTCCTGATTTGCTAGTAGTGTCTCCGGGACCACTCCTGGTGGTAAGAGGCGAGGGAATGCTCTTTACAGCTGCTCCGTCTCCTCTGCGTCTGGCTGCACCTGCACAAGAGACGGATGTGCGTCAAGTACCCACCCACATCCCATTGCGAGGGCTCGGCGCCAGCCTCGCCATGAGGCGCCGGAGAACTTAGCTCCTCTGGAAGATGGTCAGACAGGGGCAAGCCCGCTTAGAGGGGGAAAGCATTTCAAAAAGCCTCATGGCCATGTGGGTGCCCCACCGCCTAGGGAACGGATTCACCAAGATGAGGGGTGAAGAAAGCTGGCATTTTTGGAGAACTGGGAAGGAGGGGGGGCGTTCCATGAGGAGTACAGGTAGTTCGGCATAGGAAGCCTAGTCCGAACTACCTAGTTTGTGCCGCGTGTAGCCGCGGGCACGGAGTCCGAACTAGCCGGCATTTAAAAATGGCGGCGCCCGGCAACATGCAAATGAAGCCCGGGAAATTCAAATCCCGGGCTTCATTTGCAAGTTCGAATGCCTTCATTAACCACCCTAGTTCGAACTAGGGGGGTAGTGTAGACATACCCTAAGAGCCCTGATGTGCATGCAATCATTATTCAGAACCACGGATGGCAGGCTCGTCAGCTCTGGGACCAGATCTCCCGCCTTCTGAGGGTTAAAGCCAGCCTCCTGCCTTGTATGGCACAGGCTGTCAGTTAAAAAATCATCCTCACAATAATTTGTAAGCGAAGGGGTAGAGGAAACTCAAGATACAGACAACTGGCAGGCAAGGCCCGGCGCTGAGCGGGCAAAGTCCGATGAAAACCAAAAATAATTATTCACACTGGTGTTTCTCTAAGTGGGCCGCGGCTCCTCTCTGAGAAAGCTGTTCCTGGGCCACTCCGGTTTCTTTACTCACTAGCTCCGCAGCCAAACAGCAAATCGCAGCCACTAGAAACTGGTAAGTTAACAAAACGGAGAGGCCCACTAATGAAGAAGAACTTTCTTTTATTAGTTTTAAACCTAAAATTAATGGGTAGCAGGTTTTAAACTAATAAGCAAAAGTTCTTCTTCACACAGCACGTAGTCAACCTGTGGAACTCCTTGCCAGAGGAGGCTGTGAAGGCTAGGACTATAACAGAGTTTAAAGAGAAGCTAGATAATTTCATGGAGGTTAGGTCCATAAAAGGCTATTAGACAGGGGATAGAAATGGTGTCCCTGACCTCTGTTTGTCGGAGGCTGGAGAGGGATTGCAGGAGACAAATCGCTTGATCGCTGTCTTTGGTCCCCCCGGCAGTGGCCACTGTCGGCAGACAGGACACTGGGCTAGATGGACCTTTGGTCTGACCCAGTACGGCTATTCTTATGCCTAGTAGCAGCTCTCTCAGGGTACGTCTACACAGCTCGCTTATTTTGGAATAAGCTATTCTGGAAGATCTATTCTGAAATAGCTTATTTCAAAATAGAGCGTCCACACTACAGGGAAGCCTCAAAATGAGTCCGAGGCGAACGTGCTACCTTGATTTAGAGACCCGGGGAGTAATTACTCTGAATGGCCACAGGGAGGAGCTATTTTGAAACAGCAGCAGTGGCGTGTCCACACCACCGCTATTTCGAAATCGCCAGTTCGGAAGAGGTGCTATTCCTCGTGGAATGAGGTTTACGGAAGTTGGAATAAGCTGCCCATTATTTCAACTTTATTTCAGAATCACGGACTTGCTTTGGAGATGCTCGCCCTGTTATTTCAGAATAACAGCCGTTATTCTGAAATAACGCTGCTACGTAGATGCACCCTCAGAGCGGGTCCATGGACCACTTTGAGAAACGCCGATTTACAAACTTTTGCCCAGCATATTCCAGTGTAAAAAGCAGGGCTTTCCGCTTATTTCAGTGGCAGGACTGTTATGCAAAATTTGGTATTCAGGAAACACGACTTTATTTTGCACAAACAAATCCACAAACAAACTCTTCCAAACATACAGTCGACAAAACGTGGGTTATGAGGGCTGCTACCTTCTCTTTGGAACGCCGTTTATTTTCTCCTTGGTTTCCTTGTGTCCGGTGATCTGCAAAGCAGGGAAAGGCTGGTTGGTGCCGGTCTGCGTTTTGTGTAAGTCACACTTTGTCTACTGGGCGGCTGCATGTGTGGCATGTAAGGGAGCCCAGCTGTTGAGGAGCGGCAGTCAGCTGTTTGCAGAGCATCAGCTGTCAGACCCGACCTTTCCACCAGAAGGAGGCTGCTCTTTGTCGATTTGGGATTTCAGAGTTGAGGGCAGGAATGTGAGCAGGAAAAGGAAATGTCCTGTTTGATACTCCCAATCACCTGCATGCCACCCCTGTGAATTACCTGGTTCTAATCTGATTTACTAGAATCTCCAGTGGTATTTGCACTTGCTGGTATTTCCAACACCGCAGGAGGAAAAATTATAGAGACCGTTCAGAATAACAGCATGAAAAACAGCATTTTCTCAGAGTTTCTTCCCCAAAGCAATGGGGAAGAACACTCAGATGTGAATCCACACCTTACAAAAATCCCCGAGAACAGGCAAAGGATGAGAAAAAGGCCCAAGAAGACGCACATCGCAAGAATAGCATCCCGAAAGCGTTGGTGCAAGGGATAGGAAAGGAAGCAAAATGGAGCCCGCTTGAGTTAGTTGTATCAGAGACATACCTTTATCTGCTCACACATGTAAAGCAACACCACAACTAATCATGCGAGGGTCAGGGTTTCACATCACAAAGCCACAGCCTCCAAGAAATACAAATGCATTTACACAACCCCGGGGAGCAGGAGAGACACTCAAACTATCCTGGCTCTCTGCATGGGAGAGAAAATTGGCATTTAAGATGCAAGACTGTTAGTCACACTCAATACAGGCGAGCCAAGCAGTTTCTCCAGCTAGCTAAGCAGCTTTGTCCTTACGCTCGTTTCATTGTTTAACATTTAGCCCAGTTTGACTTGTCGTTTCTACGCTGAATAAAACCTTGCTTCCGGCGAGAGATGCCCGGGCGGGTAATTTCTAGGGGCAAACCCTGGCAGCGGGATAGTCACGAGGGAGGGCGCTCCGACTGCAGCGTGGACGTAAGTTTGCCGCAGTCTGTGCCGACACGCCTGAGCTAGCTGAGAGTCCCAGAATGTTGAAGATGTGGGAGCGTGGGTGGTGCTCGTATACCAGACCCTGGGCTGGCTCTGCAGCTGGTGTTGTAACGTGCCACTGCAGCTTCACTATTTGCACCCAGAGTAGGGAGATTAGCACCTGCAGGACTCCAGTGACCACTGCTTCCTGACCGCAGCATATTCAGAGAGACCTGCTTCAGGACTCCACTGTGGGCCAGATTGTTCACGGTGTTTGGGTGCATAACACCACTGCCTTGGGGGCTTCTAAAACCCTTCCGAGGCACCTATCTGAATTGTCAGGGGCCGAAATGCCCGTATAAGGCTGGTCTTGAGTCCAAGATATCTCCCACAGCATTGACAGTAGCCAGGCTGGCCAGCTGGAGCCTGGGGAAGGGAGAGAGCCATGCACAAAGCTACCCAGGAAAGAGAGAGGGAGTAAGTGATGGCGACGGGAATGAAATCCCATGGATACTTACACCACACGAAGAGGGCCAGAAGGCCAAGGAGAGAGATTACAGCCGAGGCGACTGCACTGCCGGTCAGATCTACCGACGGGGAGCAGCCTCGCTCTGCGTGAGTTATTTTTTTAAGAGAAAGTGCATCAGTCGGTTGCTCGTTCAGCCAAAGAAATCGTAAGGGAGCAGAAATCTACGAGTGCCTTTAATTCAGACCCCTGCAGGGCTAAGCCGTGTCCGTGGCAGGGGAGAACCGGGATGTTTCTACTTTAGAATAATACACGAGATTCAAACGTGCTACCCGAGGGATGTCCATACTCCAGATCCCTGACCAGGGCTTCCGAGTGAGCGCAGGTGAGACAGACCTACGGAAACGCCTTGCTAGGTGTTCTGCTGAGCCCCGGGCATAAAGGGAAGGGGCTCTGGAGATTTGGTGTGTGCTGTGCGTGGCTGTTCATGCAGGAGAGACGCATTCAGAGTTGATGGGCTATGTCCCTTCGTTTTGATACGAGGAGCTCCCAGGGACGGGGGGGAGGGGTGTGTGTCAACATGATGGTCTGCAGTGAGACCCACCCAGAACCTCCAGCGCTCCCCGGTAAGAGTTTATTTCCAGGGAAACATGCAACACACACAGACCACCGGGGGGGTATAGTCTCACCTTGGAGCTGAGAGATTTTCTGGAGCAGGAGGCTGGCAAACAGCACCACTAATATCACAGCTCCAGGAGCGGCTGAGTCCAGGGTGAGCCGCTGCCCTGAAGAGGAAGGGAAACGGGGGAAGGTTTTCTGAGGCAGAGGCAGCCAGACAAACGTGTTATAACAGCTCCTGCAGGGGCTCATTCCCGCTCTGTACCCGAGCGTCATCCCAAGGATGCAGGGAGGGTCAGATCCCAGGGCTCTGCCTTCGGTTACCAACCAATTACTGGCAAGGGACGGAAAATGTGGGCAGCTCTCTGGCGGCGGCAGCCAGGGTTTTGAGACGCCAACACAAACCTGGCTCAACAGACAGGTCACCCTACAGTGCCATCAAGCTACTGATCTCCAGTGGGTAGTAACTACAGGTTCCTCCCTCATCCCTCCCCCATCCCTGGAGTTATCCCCGTGTCGGTACGGCGAAGCGACGGTTGCCTCAGAAATGCGGACTCGTGACCCAGAGGCTTCAGAAGGGAACCCCGCGTCCTTCCATGCTGTCCTCTCTGCCGCCCTTTTTCCCACCTCTTGGGAGCAGATGTCCCCTGGGTCTCACAGTGAACACGAAGGGGACGAGCTGTGGAGAGGGGGTGTATGTGACTCTCGGTACCATGAAAGCCCCCTCCACGGCCTTCTCTCTACCTCCCTGCGGCCCATCGAGGGCCTCTCCTCAGGCCGTCTAGGTGACGAGTCAATTCCCCGTCTATCCCCGGACGGTGAAAGCACCGACAGAAGGACTCACATGGTTTGCTCTTCAATCCATTGAGCTTTTCAGGCCGACACGTCAACGTTGCCGAGATCAGGGCCGTTACCATGACTACGTAAACAAGCAAAACCTCAAGCAGTATGAAGGCCACCGAGGGACCTGGGGGAACGAAACCAGACGGAGAGAGGCTGACGGGGCTTGGTCAGAGAGACCAGGTCTGGACGGGGCTCTAGCAGGGAGGGGCCCTTTTTGGCCTGAGGGCCGCATCTCAGCTCACAAGATTGGGGTGCCGGGCAGGCCCGGGGCTCCTGCTGGGGAGGTGGGCTCTGGGTTGGGGCCAGAAATGAGGTGCTGAGGGTGGGGGAAGGTACTCCAGGCTGTAACTGAGGGTTTGGAGGGGTCTCCTGGCTGGGGCAGGGGACTGAGGCGCATGGGGGTGTGTGTAAGGACTCCCGTCGGGAGTGCCTGCAGCTGCTCTTGGAAGCAGCAGGGCCCCCCTTTGGCTGCCATGGGGGGGTGGGGCCACGCAGGCCACTGCCCCGTGCGCAGATGCTGCAGAGCGGGTGCTTGGGGAGGGGCAGCATGTGGCACAGCTACCTGCCCCTGCTGCCCAGCTGGAGCACCCGGGCGGGGCAAAGTCCCACCCCCACTCCCCAGTGGGAGCTCCAGGGCCAGATGAAAAGGTTTGACAGGCCGGATGCAGCCCACAGGCTGTACTTTACACACCCCCGGGCTACGGTCTGGCGTCAGTCACACCGACAACACCCCACGGAGGTTGGGGAGGTCAGTGGGGCGCACGGTGCCGCAGATGGCACAGTCGGGCACCCTGGTTGGTGGTGACGTTGACAGCGGGGAAGCAGTTACACCCGTGGCTGGGAAAAGTGACGGGCAGAGGGAGAGGGGCTGGATGAGGCATCGCGGCTTAAAGTGTCACCCTAAGAAGCAACAGCAGAATTCACGGTACACCAAAACCTTCCGCCAGCACAGAGATCCCCCCGAATTACACCACCCCCCGCTGCTCCCTTGCCTAGGCTGGTCTGATCTCTCCACCCCTCTGACTTAACCTTCCCCACTGCACCGCGACAAGACACCCCGGATTCCTGCCAGCTGTGCCCTGCTGTCTACGATCCTGGACACACACCAGTCCCCGGGACCTTGCCGCTACAGCAGTGTCTCGGCTTTCCTGTGTTTGTCTCACAATCCGTGTCTCAGTCGGCCAGAGAGGCCCCTCAGGAACATCTCTGGCAGAGTCTCAAATGCGCTGCACTATCTGGCTGACCGAGGCCTCTTGCTAGGTCAGCCAGTGAAATGGACAATGGGGTGGCTGGGAGCACATGCACCCAAAGGTCACCCCAACCTGGCCTGCCACAGGTAGCTGCCGTACCAATGAGGCCTCCCTGGGAGACTCCATCTCCCCCTGCACCCCATAAGTCCTCCCCCATCCTCAAACCCTCCAGTGCATGCTCCTTTGAAAACCCACCAAGAGCATGTCTGGCGCTTCCTCTCCTGCCCCCAGCATGCTCCAGTTGTACCAGGTTTTTCTCGAAGGGTCAGATCCACGCTGGCATAAATCTGTGTGGTTCCACTAGCTTCACTGGAACAATGTTGATTTACACTAGCTCCAGATGTGACTCTGGATTAGGGATGTTACATGACTATTAAAATAACCACTTGCTAACTGCTACCTTTCTTAGTGGTTACACAGTCACTCCATGGCCCCCGGGGGTGGAGGCAGCAGCCAATGCACTTCTAGCTCCACTCCCAGCGATCCCCCCCATCATCCCCCTGCTGCCTCCACATCAGAGGCAGCAGCACGGGCTGGCAGGCGGCTCCCTTGCTTGCTCTTCCTTGAAAAGTTTGACTGGCGGGCTGGGACTGAACCAGCCTGTCGGTCCAAGTTTTAAATGCAGAGCACGTGGGGCGTGTGCTGTGGTTAACCGGTGTCGTTAATCGATAAGCAACCATGTATCTGTTAAATGGCTAGCCATTAACATCTCTACTCTGAATCTGCTCCTGTTCCCTTCCGTTAGGTTTCTTCTCCCTGAATAGGTTCATTCGTTTCCGCTCCTTCTCCTTGCTAACAAATGTATCGTGATTGTATTAGAGCCAGGGGGGACTCTACCTTTCTCCAGCATCCAGAGGACAGTGGCAGCAAACAGCAAGGTGGAGGAGACACACACCAGCACGTGAATTAATACGATCAAGTATCTCCAGGTCTCTCCCTCTGGAAACGCAACAAACACACCGACGGTGAGAAATCTGAGCGGCCCAAGACCTCAGGCGCTGGGGACTCTGTTTGCAAGGGGTGACTCAAACGTGCTCAGTTTTGATTGGAGATTTATTCCCTTGGAGCTTCAAACAACCGCCCAAATCAAAGCCCGAGTCACAAACATCCTTGGCTTAAAAGAGCCAGGCCGGGTGGCAGGGTGTTTTCAGTAGCAGGCTGCCAACTCCATCCTTGCTCAGACAGGCTGTTTGTTGGCTCAGCAGGTATGCCGCAAGGCACAGGGCCTCTCGAATGAGGCTACACATAGGATGGGGGCGGGCAGGTGGGCTAGAGGGTGCGTTGGTTGGGACGAGGCGGTGCAGAGCACACGGGCAGGGATACGTTCATTCTGAATTAATTTGTAGCTCTGGATGTGGGCGTTGACTCTAAACTGCAGGCTCCTGTAGTGTGGGACATGGCATGTGTCATAACCAGGAGGGCTGATTAGTACCTGAGGACTAAGAGGTTAACTATGTTTCCTGTCTCTAGCCAGGTATCCGGTCACCCAATAGCAATGCAGGTGGGGATTTCCAACTGGGACAAAGGAATTTTTATCTTTTCCCTCCTATGAGTCAGAGCAGTTTCTTCCAAGTAACAGGGAGATGGGAGGCCTGTCTCTCTCCAAGGACGGACTCAAGGTGTAAGTGGGGAAAAGTTTAGCTAGTCCGTCAGGTTTTATTGTTTTCTGGTTTGGGAATTCGGAGCAGAGGTCTGTGCTGTTAAAAATGTTTTTTCTTCCTTTAAAAGTGTTTTCTTCTCTCTTTGGTAATGAAGCTTTCTAACCCAGGGAATTTTCTCTGAGTATATCAATTGGTGGCTTTTACCATCTAGCCACCTCAACTATGCTTGCAATGGTAGTTTTGTTTTGATAATAAAAGTTTGTTTTCTTTTTATTATTAACCGGTATTGGTTTATTTGTGTGTCCTGGGAGGTCTGTCGGTCTGACTCGGAGTCAGCTACCACAGACGGCAGCTTGGTTTCTCTTTTCTTTTTCAAGCTCTTTGGGGAAAGGATTTGGGGTGCCCTTGAGGTTGGTTTCAAGTGTCTGCCCCTGTCTATGGGTTCAAAAGCATTTGATGGCAGCAGTGGATATTCTCCAAAAACTGGGTATTAGGATTTTGGGGGGAAGTTTTTGTACCAACGTCTGTAGAGACAAAGTTTTAGGGTGCTCTTGTGGGCTCCCACTTCTGATTTGTTGTGCCAGATGGGGAACAGCCTTGACAGCACGATTTATACCAAACAGATTGCGCCGCTGGTTCACGTCCCAACGATCAGCATCTTGCCAGCAAACAGAGCCAAGTTCCGCTCTCCAGGGGCTAGGGAAGCCCCTTGTCTGGGGCCGGATACAGAGCCCCCAGAAGCGAAGGATTTCAGTGGCCTTGGAATCAGGCCCAGGGTGAGCAATCCACTCAGGGGAGGGGTTCTACACTGTTGTTAAAACCTCACAGGGTCAATTCTCACAGCTCAGGCGGCCGGGCTAAAAACTGCAATGTCGACAATGGGGTTCAGGCTGGAGCCTGCGCCCTGAAGTTCTCACCTGAGTCCCAACATCTCTGCTACAATTTTATGGCCTGGCAGCCCGAGCTCACACCAGCTGGGCCCAGCTAGCCGCAGCCGGGATGCAGATAGACACACCTGGGAGGCGCATGGGGAAAGCAATCGGCCAATGCTGCCTGCCCTGTGAGATCCGATCTCAGCACAGAGGTTCCCTTCTGTGTGCAACAGACGCTCTCCAAGATCCACACGAAGCAAACTACTCACTGATCCTTCGCTTTTCCGACTGGCAGCACAGGAGGACGAAGCCCAAGCCAGAGACCAGAGAGAACACCAAGGCAACAGCTGACATTTCCAGAGCACGGCCCAGAGGAGGCGGGATACCTGGTGGGTGGAGAGAAGAAATCCCAGTTTCGGGGGGAAGAGCAGAGGAAGAAGAGAACAGAGGCTGTGGGCAGACTGGAGAGAGGGGAAGCTGCTGAGACAACTGAAGGGAGCTGGGATTTCTGCATGGGGGTGTGCACGAGAGGATTGTTACCCCCTGCCCATGGTGGCACCGAGTCCCAAAGGCAAACTCTTTCAGCAGGGATCTAACCTGCAGGGCTGCATAGAATCACTGAATTAGAACCGGAAGAGATCTCAAAAGATATCAAGTCCAGTCCCCTGCCTGCACGGCAGGACCCAGCACCATCTAGATCCGTGGTCACCAACCAGTAGATCGTGATCTACCAGTAGATCTCGGAAGCTCTAAGAGTAGCTCTTGAGCCCTCTCTGAACTGCGCGCCTGCGCAGTGTATTTACATTAGATTTCCTCATTTGAGGAGCAGCTACTCACCGAGCAACAGCACAGGTGAGTAGCTGTGAGAAATGGTGGGAATTTTTTTTAAAAGTAGCAGTATAAGGATTAGGGATAGCAAGTGATGGCGAGGAGGAGAATACTGAGGGCGGGGCTCCAAGGAAGGGGCGGGGCAGGGCAATAGATCTTGGCTTGGTCTGTCATTTAAAAAGTGATCTTGGGTGTAAAAAGGTTGGAGACCACTGGTCTAGATAGACCATCCCTGACAGGTGTCTGTCCAACCTGCTCTGAAATATCTCCAGGGATGGAGATTCCACAACCTCCCTAGGCAATTTATTCCAGCGTTTAACCACCCTGAGAGGTAGGAAATTTTTCCTAATGTCCAACCTAAACCTCCTTTGCTGCAGTTTAAGCCCATTGCTTCTTGTCCTGTCCTCAGAGGCCAAGGAGAACATTTTTTTCCCTCCCTCCTCCTTGTGACACCCTTTTAGATACCTGAAAACTGCTCATGTCCCCCCTCAATCTTCTCTTTTCCAAACCAAACAAGCCCAATTCTTTCAGTCTTCCCTCATAGCTCATGTTCTCTCGACCTTTCATCATTTCTGTTGCTCTTCTCCGGACCTTCTCCAATTTCCCCACATCTTTCTTGAAATGCGGCGCCCCGAACTGGACACAACACACCAGCTGAGGCCTAATCAGCGCAGAGTAGCGCTGAAGAATGACTTCTCGTGTCTTCCTCAGCGCACTCCTGTTAATGCACCAGCAGCAATTCCTCCTCCATAGCAGAAGGCGGCGAGGTCAATGTGTGTTCATTCAAGGAAATGCACTCAACTAGCAGAGCAGTAGGCAGGAGGGTTCTGGGGGTCACATTGTCTACCTGTGACCCCACATAACACATCCACCCATCACCAAAAATGACAAACAGGGTTCACCAACTGCCACCTAGTGGCCAAAGCAGAACTGCATTCAGACAGGGTCAGAGTCTAGATCTTAAGACAGCTGTTCGGCTTACCCACAATGATCAGGTTCAGGGAGGCTTCCTTCCAGCTGATCTCATTGCTGGCATTGCAGGAGTAGGAGCCACAGGTGGATTTTTCACCCCTCTCAATGAGCAACACACTGCGATTTTCGGAAAGCAGGTAGCATCTTTCCTGGGGCAGAGGCGCCCCTTCCTTCTCCCAGTCAATCTTTTCCACTGTGCCCTCCGTCACGTTGCAGAGTAACTCGATCTGTGAACCGGCTTCACTGGAATTGCTCCATAGGTGAGACTGGGACACGGGCCCTGAAACAAACCACACTGCTGCAGCACCCATCAGTGCTTCTTGCCTGGAATGACAGAGGCTCAGAAGCACAGCCGGGCTCTACCAGCATGAGCATTGGGGACGCTCTGCACTCAGGAGAAGGGTTTCTGTGCTAGGTCAGCCGGATTCCCAATCAGAGCAGCCCCCGATTTGCCCCAGAAGGAGAAGAGCCGCAGCGGAGGGCTCAGGGTGGCTGCACAGTGCGCTGACCCACTGGTGTGCCTGTGTCCCGCACAAACACTTCCTGGTGCTCGAGGGGGTAGCTCGGCCTGCTGTGCACGAGAGCACAAGCTGGCTCAGCAAAGTCATAAGCACCACGCAGGAGCTGGCTCTAGCTGCAGTTCCCTCACCACGTGATAATGCACATGATGGACCTGAGCACGGAAGTCGTAAGCACCACGCAGGAGCTGGCTCCAGCTGCAGTTCCCTCACCACGAGATAATGCACATGATGGACCTGAGCACGTGTTGTCTCACCATCTAGCTGGGTCTCCTTCACCTCTAGCAAACGGGATTTCAACGGCACACAGCAGGATGGGGGAGAGGGGTGTGTGAATTGGGACTAAGGATTTATCCTTCTCACCCAAACACGAAGGGCCATTTGATAACAAAGAAAAGCAACAAAAATCCACTTCCTTTTTAAAGGATTTCATTTTAAAATCCCAAACAACATTAGCCTGCGGAACTCACTCCCACTAGATATCAGTTAGGCCAAGGACTTAGCGTCAGATGACTTAGACATTCACCTTAGAAATGAGAGCATTTGTGGTGACTCTGGACAGGGGGATAGGTTTAAACAGTCATTTATAGAAAGAAGGACCATAAACCCTTAGGGTCACAAGTTTAGACAGCCACTCACTGAGGCTAGGAAGTTTCCTTTGTGGGCAGGAACTGACTTTCTTGCACCTTCCTCGGAAACAACTTGAATTGGCCACTCATGAAGACAGGACACCACACTGACCTGGTATATTCCCAATATTATCGCTATAACATTTCTCTTGTAAAACATACATGGAGAGACTTCCTATGATGGAATTTCAATATATCCAGCTCTTCCTAATGGTCAGTGATTTATTTTAACTTATTTATACTGCTCTGGTTTTTAAACCAATTGCCCATAAAGAATCTGAGCCTTTATTTACAAAAATAAAAACTCTGTCATGAATGCTATGGTATGCAGACAAAGCAAACATCCATCGGCTGTACAACGCTCAGCATGAGCTCTTGTTTAGAGGGAAATGTACTAACCTGGGACGGGGTATCATTTTTGGGTCAGGGGCCACGGATCTACAGAAAAATCAGTCGGGCGCTGCACACAAACGAGAAGCAAAAAACCAAACCAAACCCAAACCACCCCAGAAACCAAAAAAGCCCAACAAACCCAAACCCTCACTGTCATGGCCCCGACTAAGGAGACAGACGCTTCCCACACCGGGCCTAGCCTAGATTTTGCATGCCCCACAGGAGGACAGTGGGGAGCTCGAGCTCCAGCATGGGCTCCCCATTGCTGGGGGGAGCCCTGAGCTTTGGGGGCCAGATTGAGGCAAGCCAGGGGCTGCATCTGACCCTCACGCCTTAGATTCCCCATCCCAAGCTATAGGATCCTGGGGCGAGTTCTCTCCAGATTTTCTCCCAGTACATTTTCCTTCTGCTCTGTCTGTTGTAACCGTTGCCCTGTGCTAGGCAGCTGGCTATGAAGGAGCCCATCCAACCCTGGGCGTTCCTAGCAACAGGAGTCATTCATCGGATTCCATCCTCCTGGGGCGGTCAGAGCCCAGCCATACTCACACATTTCCCAGTGCAGGCTCAGATACGGCCTCCTCTCTGATGGGCCTTGCAGATTTCATAGAATCATAGAATCATAGAACTGGAAGGGACCTCGAGAGGTCATCGAGTCCAGCCCCCCACCCTAAAGGCTGGACCAAGCTCCGTCTACACCATTCCTGACACTTCCCAGTACATCCATCAGTGTCCCCTGGCTGGGTCAGAAGGACGGCCTTACTGGATCCCTCCACCCCAGCCTTCTGCCAGTGTCAGGTACCCCAGAGGCAGTGAACAGAGCAGGGAATCATCCAGTGATCCCTCCCCTGTCGCCCATTCCCAGCACCTGACAAACAGAGGCCAGGGACCCCATCCCTGTCCATCCTGGCTCATACCCATTGATAGACCCAACCTCCACGAACATATCTATTTATTATTATAATAATCTTGGCCTTCAAAAAGCTTTGTGGCTTGCTGAAAACCCTCCGCCCCTCTGACTATTCCCTTGCACAGAACTGACCCTTCTTATGTCCTGACTTGTCCCTGCTGGAAGGACACAGCCCTCTCCTCCGTGTGCCCCACTTACAGAGAACTTTCAGGTGAGTCCTCCTGGCTTCACTCTCGATCAGATTGACGCTGGCTTTGTAGGTGCCACTGTCGGTCTCTTGGAGCTTCTGCAGCAGGAGGGAGTCGTTGGGGGGGTGAAAAATGACTCTGCCTCTAAAGGGTGCAAAGACAGTTGGCTCCTGGGCATTCTTATAGAACTGCACAATGAACTGCGGGCCGGAGTCACTTAGATATTCCCACTGGATGAAGTTGATGTCTTGTACATTGTCTGGTGCAAGCAGCAGCACCGAGGAGCCCAGGGCTGCCACTTTTCTTTCCTGAGGTGGTGCTGCTTCTGAAAACCATTGGAAAACCAGCAGCAGCCCTAGCCAGCCAGGGAAGAGAAGCAGAAAAGCAGGAAAAGGGGAGTGAGCCACAAAGCAAAACCCCAAGGGCATTTCTGAGTCCGTGCCATTCAAATGCTTTTTCCACCATCCCTACACTGCCAGAGCACCTTTCACACACCAGGACTGGCATAGGTCCAGAGACGCGTCACGATGCCATTACTGTTGGCGTTCATTAGTTCTGCGTGAGCAGCGATTTGAAATATTATGGACCGACAGTGGCTCCACAGCCGCCGCTGTGCAGAACTTTCTGCTTCAGGGCCAATTTTTCAGTCTCTTTAAGATTGCCGCGCCTCACCAGGACCACAGCTAGCCATAGCGGAGAAAGAAGGGAGTCTTATAGCCCAGGGGTTCCTCAGCCACATGCCTCGCCCCCCCTCCAGTACCAGTAAGCTGGTTTTAATATCCAAAATACTCAAAAAATCCACCCGCATGGGGAGATTGTCTTGGACCATTATGCCCTAAAAAGGGTTGACCTGACTGAAGAAAATTTAAGGTCATTTGGCCAAAGTGTTCCTGAAATCCAGCCTTCCTTTCCACGAAAGTGGGCTGCTGTTGAAAATTTCAGGGTTTTATGCCCCTTTTTTGGACAGACTTTAGGGGGAACAACAAACAAAACCGAGGTGCAATTCTCATACGACATTACAGGACTGTCCAAGCTGAGCTAGTCAATGGTAATATGGTGAAAGGGGGCGAGGAAGGTGGCAAAGGCAATCTGTGGTACAGGCCGAACTGCTCTAGTCTGGCACTCTCTTGGCAACATCTGTGGTCCACCATGATGTTAGTTAGCTGGGTGTGCACTTATCATGGGGGTGGCCAAGTTTCCCACGGTCCTGTGAAGTTTGTTTACAGCTGCCAGTCCTGGCTCTGTGTTCTGAGCGGTTATGTAGCTCGAATTCACTCCTAAATGTCGTCTTGCAGCTCAGTAAGCAGTGGAAGTCTTGGTAATGCTGCTAGACAATATTGACCTCCCGTGGTCTGGCAAATTCTCTGGTGCCGAACCAGTCAGGTCCCCAGGCGCCAGACTGGAGAGGTTCAACCTGTAATTCTGTGCTGCTTCGTCCTACATCAACATCCTGCTTAGGATAGACACATTTTTCATTCTACAGGAACTCAGATTTCAGGGCAAGAAACTTCCCAAACCCCACAGCCAGTAGCACCTTAGTCACCGTTAATACTTAATCTTCCTGTCAGTCACCAGAGAATGAAAAGCTCCATAGCACCCAGGGATGGTTATTGTCCTCTTTTCCAACCAAGGAGCTCCAGCAAGTTCTCACCAGCCAATGCCACCACACTCTGAAAAATGTGCAGGACTATCACTCGTGGTCTACAGTACCTGATTAGCAAAAGACGACTGATGCCGCTTGATTCTAGTCTCAGGGGGTTTGCCGTGTTAGCCTTGATCCACCTAAAAGAACAAGGAGCCCTGTGGCACCTTAAATACTAAACAGATTTATTTGGGGATCAGCTTTCGTGGGTACAAACCACTTCATCAGATGGACGGGATGGAAATAACATTTAATTAGCCTCATTAGCCCCGGTCCTACAATTGACAGGTACCTTCCCCCGCCGCCTCCTTTTTCTGTTATACATTCTGGGCTCCTGTTATCTCTCTCCAGCTCATCTGATGAAGTGGGTTTTTCCCACAAAAGCTTAAGCCCGAACAACGTACAATTTGTTTCCCCTTTAGCGTCTCATGCCCTGCAATGCATCCTGCCCCGCTCCCCCAGTCTGAGAACCTCTAAACCAAATCCAAACTGAGACCGCCTTCAAGCAGGGATTTTCCTTTCTGGTGTGTGTACTGTCCAATCTGAAGCGCATCATTGGTTCTTAAGGAATATTAAGAGAGGTGAACGGAACGCCTTGAACTTTATACTTAGGGACCACTCCTTGTCTAGAATTTAGAGGAAAATGGCACAGCTGTTCCATTGCAGCAAACAGGACTTTTAAAGCGGAGTGCCTACCAGAGTGTCACTTTTGCTCTAGCATTCACACATTCGCATGCAACCTCTGTCTCTGTGCTGCGCTATTGCTCCTGCAGCTACTAGCAGTGTGGTGGCGCACAGTGCCGGGCATTAACGCAGGGGATGCACCAGGGAGATTTCTTGGAGCAGGATGAAAGGGCGTTAACACCTCCAAAGTCTTTAGGGGAGTTGGTGCTGCCTAGGAAAAGTGGCCGAGTTTGGTTCCGCTTTGGTGGTTGGTGTTAACTAAGACTGATCTCAACAGCTCAGTTGTTTTCCTAGTCAAGATAAAGAGCTAAGAGCCTCCTGTGTGCTTCCCTGCACCCTCCACATCAGTGTTTCTTAAACTGTGTTCCATGGCACACCGATGAGCTGTGAGGCAGCTGGTGGTGTGCTGCCGAGAACAGAATTCAAAATGGCCGCCTTTAAAGGGGCAGGCAACTTTTTTTTTTTTTGCTCAATAACTCCCCCCCCCCCCAACCGTTTTCTTTTGCTCAACAAAAAAAATCCTTGGTGAGCCTCATTAATAAAAAGTATTGTTTGGTGTTCCTCCGTCTTAAAAAGTTTAAGCAACACTGCTCTACATGATTGGGAAGGCTGGTGCGCTATGGGGGGGGCGCACTACTCAATGGGGTCAGCATAGAGAGTTGGGATGCAGAAGGCAGGCATAGAGATATCCCTTCGACTATCTACAGATACGCAGAGCTCAATACATCAGCCTCTCTAATTTGGGCTACAGAGACAGACTCTCAGGAAAAGCCCCTCACACCTTTTGGGCTCAGAACAGGACAAGACACCCTGATCTGTGTGTTACCAAAGCAAACTGGACCAGTGCCTAAATCATGCAACAGATTTTTTATTATTTTGGCGAGTCCCGACTCGACCCTCTCCACCCCAATAATTTACAAATGGAAACAGTTTTGGTACTTAAATGATGAGAAAGGGTTGGATGTGGCTCACACTCTATCTATGGGGGACAGGAGAGTTGTAAGGATTTAATCTTCATTAGAGTTTTGATGGAGAATATAAATGTCCATTTAAAGCATTTTCTCACCTTTTTTTACTGATTTATATTTTCATAAGAGCACGACATTATGGAGGGAGCAGGAGTCAGACAATAATTACTGAATCGACGTGGATGTTGAGATTCAAAACGTTAAACTTTATATCCATTAAAAAGTAAATTGTCAACATCACATGCCAAAAAATACCAAGCAGATGTTCTGAAACACTAGTACATCTCAGCCAGTGTATTCCTTACCTTGTCTATCTGTAAGCTTCTATAATCACCCATGAACACATTTTTCCATTGGTTTTTGCGTGACCAAGGGAATCAATGTTCATTAACAAGAATCTGATCTGGTGGTCTACAGCACACACCAACCACATCATCACCCCTGTTGCGTCCACCTCTAAACTTAACCCATAGACTCTCAACAGTCTTTTCTCCCTCTATTTACTGGAGCTCTGAGCAATCATACACACCTCTTACAAATTATGGAACTCCCCCTCCTTTTCTCCCCCACCTGTTCTTCTTGAACAGTTTATACCCCCCTTTCACGACAGTGCTCCAGTCATGCGAGTCATCCCGCCAAGTCTCCGTTATTCCAATCAAATCACAGTTCTTTGACTGGGCCAGGGCTTCTAATTCTTCCTGTTTGTTTCCCAGACTTCTCGCATTGGTGTACAAACACCTTAGATAACCAGTTGATTGCCCTACCCTCTCCATTCAAATCAGAGGTCCTCCTTTGTTGCTCGTTCCTCCTTGTGTTTCTTCCCGGTATTCAACTTCCTCACTTACCTCAGGGCTTTGGTCCCCGTCCCCCAACGAACCTAGTTTAAAGCCCTCCTCACTAGGTTTGCAAGCCTGCCCGTGAAGATGCTCCTTCCTCTCTTGGTTGGGTGGATCCCATCTCTTCCTAACAATCCTTGTGCCCAGAACAGAGTCCCATGGTTAAAGAAACCAAAGCCCTCTCTGTGACACCACCTGCGCAACCACGCATTGACTTCCTCAATTCGACAATCCCTACCCAGACCTTTTCCTTCAACAGGGAGGATGGACGAGAACACCACTTGTGCTTCAAATTCCTTGATCCTTCTTCCCAACACTACATAATCTGCTGTTGGTACCAAGGTTGTACCAAGGTCATTCTTGGCCATATTGTTAGTTCCTACGTGGAGAAGCAGGAAGGGGTAGCAATCCGAAGAGCTGATCAGTTTTGGAAGAGTCTCTATCATATCCAGAATTCGAGCTCCTGGTAAGCAGTACACTTCTCGAGATTCCAGGTCTGGACAGCAGATAGATGACTCAGTCCCTCTCAGGAGGGAATCCCTGACCACCACCACCCGTCGTCTTCTTTTGGCGGTGGTGGTGGTCGTGGAACTCCCATCCCTACAACTACGCATCCCATGCCTTCTGGCAGATGGTGTTCCCTTCTGATTTCTTCCTTGAAAAGTCCCTGCCAAAGCATTCTCCACTCCAGTGCCTGAGGAGAGAGCCTGCAAGCGGTTACTTACCTTTACAGGAATGGGGGATACCTGAGTTGGCCACCTTCTTCTTCTAGAGGTTACATGTTCTCTTCCTTGTCCTGTATTGCCCTCACTGTCTCGTGAGCCTGCCATGCCTGCAGGATTAAACGCTGCCTTCTATTGAGGAAGTCTTCATCCTCTCTGATGGAACGTAGGATTGATACTTGCGCCTCAAGGCCTCTAATTTTTTCTTCCAAAATGGCGATGAGCTTGCACTCAGTGCAGATGAAATCCTTTCTTTCTTCCGGGAGGAAGACAAACATGGCACATGCTGTGCAGGTAACAACAGCAGACCCATCACCATCCATACCTGCCTTCCTTCGGAGAGATTCCTCAGATGTTATTAAATGCCTCCTTGAAGGGCAGGAGAGAGAAAAGGAGGAGGAGGACTTCACATGCATTTTTCTCAGCAGGTTACAGGCATTAGATTCTTAGTCAGGAGTCGGATAAGGATGATCAGGGATTCTGGAGTCTCTGGCTCTGGAAGAAGAGCGTTGTTTGTAGTGGTTAGAGACAGGAGACCCAAAACTGGCTTACTCAGTCTGAAAGGCAATGCGGTTCAGTGGGTAAGACTGGAATGTGTCATGTGAGAAACAGAAACCTAGTTTCTGTTCCTGTGACCTTCCATAAGCTCTAACTTGTTTTAAGAGAGGGGAGTGTTCAGTAGCATTTCCCTGTCTGTGAACATCAGGAGCACAGGGCCTTATTCATAGAGCGAATTGCACGGGACCACAGAGGTTAGAAGAGAAGAGATCTTAGTCTCTTGAGTAGCTCCAGGATATTTTCTCTAGGCAACGGGGGTGGAGGTGGGGGTGGGGAGGGTGTCTTGGTCATTTATTGCCCCCTAAGATGCAGTAAGAGTATTTGCCCCATAGCCGACATTTAGGAGGGTTTCGCTTGGTGCACAAATCTGCCGTGACAATGACACCGTAACCAAATCGAGACAAGCACTCTCGATGTAAAACTGACCGAAGAAGTCCTTGAGAACAGGGCTCTCTGCCTCCCAATCCCCTGCTCAGGTCCAGAGCTTGCTCCCAGCATCTAAACTCCATTCTGGAGTCGGCCTCCTCCCGCACCCAAACTCCCTCTCAGCGCCTTAGGCAGGGGGTGCAGCGGGGGAAGAGTCGGAGGGAATCCGAGTGAGGGACGGGTGCAGGCTCTGGGCACCACCATCATTTTTGCTAACCTGCTGGCCCTGGCCAGATGAGGGAAGTCTGGATTATAGATTACAGTGTGCACTCTGAACAGACACACACCCAATGCAGTCACTATATAGCATGCGCCTATGCAAATTTTTTTACCAACATGCAGAAATTTTTTTTTTTTTAAAAATCTCTAAAGTAAGGCAAATAGCTTTCCAGATTCCAAGAACAAAGAGCCTGGGCACTTTAACCCATTTTAAAACACCGACACTTACAAAAGACAGCTCAGAACTCACTAATGCGCTACTTCCACACTGAGTTCAAAAGTGGTTACCTGCCAGGAATGTGTAGCCTTTACCCGGGGTCTCCAACAGGAAACAGATCTGCATCTGTGAAAGGAAAACTGTTCAACCATCCAGGGACTTTCCAACTGCAATCAGTTCCTTAGAGAAACCACAGTCACTACTCTGAAAGAAACACTGGTTTTTTGTGCTATGCAGGGGGTGGTTTACACTTATAACCACAAAGATTTGTAGGTGCCTACCGGCCACTGATTGGCATCTTTGAGGATCTAGGCTAAGGCGAGGAACATTTTTGGGTCAGGGGCCCCTGACCCACGGAAAAATCAGTCGGGGAGCCACAGGAAAGTGAGAAACAAAACAAACAAAAAAATACACACACATGCACACGCACACATACACAGCCCGACAGAGAAAAAACACCACCACTCTTTTCACTCCAACCCCACAGCCCGTGCGTAGAAGATTTTGTAGGGCACCCCTAGACTCTGAGGTGGGGCCAAAAATTAGCGAGTCTGTATGTGAGAAGGGGCTGTCTGAAAGTGGGCTGGGGTTATGGGGTCTGAGTGGGAGGTAGGGTGCAGGAGCATGGGGGTGGATCTGGGCAGGAGGGGGTCAGGAGCAGGTGTCGGGCCTGGGTGATGAAGAGGAGCTTATCTGCACAACTCCCCAAGGACACATGTGGCCGTGCCAAGGCACCACCTCCCACTGCTCCTATTGGTTGCGATTCCGGCCAATGGGAGCAGCGGGGGAAAGCCTCCAGGTGAGCGCTTCCCTTCACTGCCATTTCCCCAGCCGTGGAAGCGGGAGCCATTAAGCCACCTCCTCTTCCCCGCCAGGCAGAGCCCTCAGATCAGATCTAGCCCCGGGGCTGGCCTGACTCCGGCTTGGAGCTCCCCTCCCCCAGCTGGGAGCGGGCACTGGTACTCCGGCCATGCGGGGGAGCACCTCGGGGGCTGCAGCACCAGAGCAGGCTCCCTGATGTTGGGGGGGGGCCCCAAGCCTCACAGACCATAGGTTCCCCAGTGATCTAGGGCAGCCTTTGAGGCTAATCCACATAAGTAAAGTGCTAGACCAAACTCAAAAACTCCCTCTCCTAACTGCGGCTGGAATTTGCCGCTCTGTTAACAGCAGGTGCTTTGGTTTCTCAAGCCCATTTGGGTCTGAGCTGCATCAAAGCCTGTGGGGCTACCACCATCGTTATGATCAGGGCTCAATGCACGTTTTCCCCGAAGCACAGACGTTATCTTCCCCAGGCAGCCCTCCTTTGGAGGCACAAGGCGCCCTGATAGCCACGAAAACGCCACCAAGCCATGGGGTGTATCTGCCACGCCAGGCGCCCCTGCCATCAGCTGGTAGTCAGGTTCCATTCCGGAACTCTCCGCTCGCTCCATGGGGCCCCTTCTGATTGGTCTGTAGCTTCCCTATAACTCTTGGGGGGGGGGGGGGGGACTTTGCAGGCCCTTCCCGGCTCAGCTGCCAACATTTCCCACCCACCCCAGGGCAGGTTCTGCAGCTCGAGGTTTCTGGGGGAGGGGGTCCTAGCGCGCCCCTGCGCCCCGGGGGCTCGCAGCCTGGCCGGGGGAGGGAGGGAGGCGGGGGCTCTGGCCCTTGGCTGCCCGGAGCCGGCTACGCCCTAGGTCGCTGGTGCAGACCCAAGGGAGCCGGGAGCGCTCGCTGCCTCTGCACTTTGGACGGGGCGGGGCAGGTGCAGGAGCCGCAGCCGGGCTGGGGCCGGTGCAATGGCTCACAGGGCGGGGTGCAAGGGCGCAGTGCGGGCGCGCCGCTGAACTGGGCAGACAATCAAAGCGAAAGTGAAAGCGGAGCGGTGAAAGCGGAGCAAGCGGCTGGCAGCGCCCCTGCGCCCCTGCCCTGCGAACGCCAAAGAGCCCAGACTCACCCTGCCGGCCGGGCCGGGGTGCGGCTGCTACAGGCGCTAGCGCATCGCCCCTCGGCAGCCTCGTCCACCTTCCCCGGGACCAGCACGCTCTAGCCCCGCCCTGCACTTAAGCCCCGCCTTAGGTCAGCCCGGGGGGGGGGGGGGGATTCTCCAACCCCTCTTCTCAACTTTCGCTTTTCACTGTTGTACCCCCCCCCCACTGATTTTTCTGTGGGTCAGCACTTCTGACCCCCAACCCGGCTCCTCAGCCCTGGCCTAAGAGAAGTCCGGGTTTGTCACAGGCCTGACCCAGCTGCGGTTAACCTCGCCCTGGGCAGCCTGCAGCCCGGGACCCCAGGCGGCCCACCAGAGCTCTGAGTGGGGCCAGCAAGACGTTGCGTGTTCCTGCCGGTATCACTAAGGGGACAGGCACGTGAAGCACCTGCTGAGGGCGCACAACATTGTGAGCCGGGCGCGCCCTCTGCATCCGATTGCAGCGCTGCTGCGGCTGGGCCGGCCCAGCCCGCAAATTCTAGGTGCACCAGCAAGTGTTGCAAAATGACCCCATCAACCCCCCCTCCCCCTTGGGGCCGCCCTTAGCCACAGGGGTGCCAGTTTCACAGTAGCGGGAAGGGCCCCATATATCCTAAGGATGGGCCCGTGGCTGGGTAGCTCCTGCTTTAAGGGTGGGGGAGAGTGCTGACGGTTATTTTTGTTCTAGTTTCTGGGGTCCACTTGCCCCTAGAATCCTAGAACACTAGGACTGGAAGGGACCTCGAGAGGTCATCAGGTCCAGTCCCCTGCCCTCCCAGCAGGACCAAGCATCAACTTCTGTTGGTGAGAAATGATATAACCTCCTGCACCTAGGCTGTGTCTAGACTGGCAAGTTTTTCCACAAAATCATCTGATTTTGCGGAAAAACTTGCCAGCTGTCTACACTGGCCGCTTGAATTTCTGCAAGAACACTGACGATCTCATGTAAGATCGTCAGTGTTCTTGTGGAAATACTGTGCTGCTCCCATTTGGGCAAAAGCCCTTTTGCGCAAATCATTTGCGGAAGAGGGCCAGTGTAAACAGCACAGGACTGTTTTCCACAAAAAAGCCCCTTTCGCGAAAATGGCGATTGGGGCTTTTTTGCGGAAAACCGCATCTAGATTGGCCACAGACGCTTTTCTGCAAAAAGTGCTTTTGCGGAAAAGTGTCCTGCCAATCTATATGTGATTTTTCCGAAAATGCTTTTAACGGAAAACTTTTCGAAAGAACCATGTTTAGACTGCGGTTTTACTTTCAAAATGGTGCTTTTTCAAAAGAGCACCATTATACGATTATGCAAATGAAGCGTGGGATATTTAAATCCCCGCTTCATTTGCAATTTCAAAGTGTCTAATTTACATCCCTCTGTCAAAAGAGGGATGTAGTCTAGACACAGCCTCGGCGTGTCTCTAACAGGACATTTATACCATAATCAAAAATCAAACTAATACATTCTATGTACAATATTTTTAGATTTCCTAGGTAACTAAATAATAAATCGCTGTTCTTAGGGATTATTAAAAGCCGTGATGTCATACATGTGGTACAAAACAATGATATAAAAACACACATCTACCAAGTTTACACTTCAGAGGGGTAGCTGAGTTAGTCTGTAACTGGAAAACTTGAAAAATAACGAATAGTCTGGTAGGACCGTAGAGACTAATGAAACGTGTCGATGGAATCGTGAGCTTTCGTGGGCACAACCCGCTTCTTCAGATGACCGGAGTTATTAAAGGTTCAGTTCTTCAGTTTCCACTGTAAGACAAACCATGGGAGAGCAGCCAGTGCAAATAGTTAGTTATTTTAACTCTCCTCCAGTGCTGGGGTCTCGGCTCAGAAAACAGGCTACTAACCAACACGGGGATTGAATGCCCATCGTTGTCGGTGACAGTCTTGCAGCTAATTCCCTGTGCTCCACAGGAGGTGTCAGATGCTTTCCTCCACAAGAGATGGCACAGCTGTTCTGTGTGTGGCCAGCAAGGGGCACTCTGGAACCGGAGCACAGCCACTTGCACAATCCTCCCGCTGTGTGAACACAGCACCTCGCTGACAGACACCTTGCCGCCTGGTTCTAAGGGGCAGAGACCTTCTCCCGTCCCCGCCTCTCGGCTCAGGAGCGTAGAGCAGCATCGTGCAGAGTTGCCGCCCTCTGCAGACCTTAGCGAAGTCTTCCAGTGAGCGCCTGGGTGCAGTTAATCCCTGCCCGGCCGGAATCATGATGGCTACTCCCACTGCATTTAGCTCTGTTCCACTGCACAGACTAGCACACGTACAAGGCCTAAAACCATCTCCCCTGCGCCGCTCGCTTACCGAGAACGTCCAGCAGGGTTCTCCTGGCTGCGCTTTCTGCCATATCGACAGTGGCTTCGTAGGCCCCGTTGTCTGTCTCTTGCACCTTTTCCAGCAGGAGGTGTCAGATGCTTCCTCTACAAGAGATGGCACAGCCATCCCTTGGATGGATAGAAAATGCCCCTGCCCCTGTTGGACCTGGTGACCCTTCGTGGTACTGCACGATGAAGTGGGATGCAGGACCGTTTAGATGTCCCCACTGCAGAAACGTCACCCCCTTTATGTTGTTTGGTGGGGGCAGCAGCATTGAGGAGCCCACGGTGGCAGCTTTTCTTTCTGGGGTTCCCTTTGCGTCGGCTGCCCATTGGAAAACCAGCAACAGCTCTGGATGGGAAGGGAAGAGAAGCCGGAGATGACAAAGGTTGTCGGTTTTAGAACATAAGAACAGCCAGACTGGGCCAGACCAAAGGTCCATCCAGCTCAGCATCCTGTCTGCCAACAGTGGCCAATGCCAGGTGCCCCAGAGGGAGGGAACCCAACAGGTAATCCTCCCGTGATCCGTCCCCTGTCATCCATTTCTAGGGACACCATTCCTACCCTTCCTGGCTAATAGCCATTGACGGACCTAACCTCCATGAATCTATCTAGCTCTTTTTTGAACCCTGTTCAAGTACTAGCCTTCACCACATCCTCTGGCAAGGAGTTCCACAGGTTGTCTGCATGCTGATTGTGCATGAAAGGGCAAGCCAGGAAGTGCAGCAATAATGCACCTGGGAGCTGCTGTGCCACTGAATGGACCAGCTTCTAGCTGAGAGCATTTTATAATGAATAACTCCTGTTGTATTTCCAGCTGTCATCCATACATAAAAAATGGTGAAAGAAATCACAATTGCCCAGTGACAACAATGGGCTGGGAAAACTTGCCATGACTTCATCCTTAATCCTGCTGCAGATGAAATTCCTGGGTCTTCAACAGAGTGGGCATGGATGAGTTCAAATTTTCAAGGTTTTCCAGTATGGGTGGAAGACATGTCAAGACCGTGAAGAAGAATATATAAGGCCAGATGTTCAGCTGGTAAAATTGGGTGAAACCTCATTGACTGCAACAGAGCTGTCTCCGTATATAGCAGTGGAGGATCTGTCTTGCTAAGAATTTCCAAGCAGGGAAAAAAGGGGATCATTAGAGGAACCTGCCGTAGCTATGGAGGCAATCGTCAAAATGAAATGTCCTGGCCCAGAGGCTATCATGGAAACATGGTTTCACATTGAATAAACATGGCCCCCAAATAGCTGTTGATTTGTATCCAGATTGTACTTAGTTTACCCAAATTCAACATTTATATTGTGGGACGCTGGTCCTCAGCAGATGTTTATTGGTTCCTTACCTTACTGCATCCAAGTTAAATTTAATCTGGGATTATATTGTCTACTCCCCTTAAATCTATTTGGATTCACTCAGAATCCTTCTACTCCGAGGGGCATCTGTTCAGGATACTTCTTTTTCCTAGTGCCTGATTAGCTTTTAAACCAAAACAAGATTTTGCATCCTATTCCTTGGTTACTTAATTTCTTCACTAGCCTTGCTTAGTAAGAGTATTACTCCACTACAAGGTTTTTTTTCGGAAAAACGGACATTTTTCCAAAAAAACGTAAATTATGTCCACACTGAAATCGTGTTCTTCCTTATCAATTTTCCACAGTTCTTAGCGTTTGATTTATATTAATTACTACCAACTTCCCATTTCTTCCATTTGTTATATATTTTATAGCTGACTTCACTTCCCCTCTATAGCAGGTCAGTTTTCTAACTGGCTTTCTTCCTCAATTGTGGATTGCTTTTAGGACACCTAGTATTCTTAAACAATTCTCAATTATCGTTCATTATTTTCTGAATCTTCCTCCCAGCTTGTCTGGCTCATAATAGTTTTCATCTTTATAAAACTGGCCAGTTCTTAGACATAGCCTAAGTAGGAACATGCAGAGTTTTGAAAATCCAAGTGTATTGTGTTAGTTGGGTCATTTTTATCTACTATTTTAGTTACTTTTACGAATATATAACAGGTTCTTCATGTGTGCATAGATCTCCCAGTGGTAGCAGTGAGAGATCGGTGCATGGAAAGGAAGTAAAATATTTGAGTTGAGAGCCATCCTTTGGCTTGGAGAGAAGCATTGATTATTATCAGGGCTCACCGAACCGCGGCGAGCCCCGCTCGCCAGCCGCGCTGTCCGGCGATCTGCGCATGCACAGATCGCCTGAACCTGGCTCTTCCGGGTTACAGTCTACTCGCCACAGGCGAGTAGATTGTATAATTTGTCGAGCCCTGATTATTATGGTACCTAATGGACATTTGTCCTTAGTTAACACAAGAGAAGATGAACTCATTAGTTGCATGCAGGTTTTATGGCTGTAATATCCAAGGCCCATCATGCAGACTCCCACACACAGCACACTTGCGATGTGGCATTTTAAGTGGGCGCTTGCAGCAACGGGCTTGCCACTGAGATCAAACACAGCTCTGCGGCTAAGTCTAGACTGCAGGCTTCTTTCGGAAGAAACTTTTCCAGAAGAGATCTTAGCTCAAAGCAACACAAGGTTTTGGTGGTGCCAGGACAATGTTTTGTGCCTGGAATGGGATTGCTTCTCATAAAACCACACAGAAAAGAGACAATCACCAAATCAAGAACAGTCCTCAAAACGGAGAGAAATGAGCAAATGTTGAAAGAGACTGAACCAAGATGAGCCATAAAAACAGAATGAACCTGGAATTGGACTGTTTCTCAATAACGCTTACAAAAAAGAGATAAAAAGGAGAAATTTGGAGTAGTGTTCTGTTTTGGCCCTGCTATATCAATGCTTAAGATTTGAAAGCTAGGGGTATGTCTACACTGCATGGCTATTTCGAGATACCAGAGGTACCCTGCATCTACACAAGCTACCCTGCATCTACACAAGCTGCCAGTTATTACAAAATATTTTTCAAAATAACGGATGCGCTATTTCAGCATCCTGGTAACCATTGTTCCACATGGTAACCTGTGTAGATGCACCAAATTTCAAAATAAGCTATTTCAAAATAGTTTTGAAATAAGATACTCAATCTTATTTCAAGTTTAGGGCGCTGTGTAGACACACCCAAGAAGACAATGCTATTGCAAACTGCATTGACTACAGCCCTTTTTTGTTAAAACATAACGAATGAACAGCATTTATAGGGATGAAGAAAAATACCCTTGATGGATTTCCCATTTAAAATTTTACTAAAATTACCCTCATAAAAATAACACTGTATTTGTGAAAAACTATCAGTTCAATAATGCACGTGCATTTTCCTTTTCTTTAGAAGAAACCTTAATTGAGTTAAGGACCTGAGCAATGCAGGGTAAATCTGCTAGTATAAAATAAATTTGCAGGTCACAGTCTTATCTGAAGCAAACTGTCATTCCTGCAGTGAAGTCAAAGGGATTCCACTGATTTACACCAGCTGCGACTGTGGTGCAGCGCTGAGCCCTGTGGAGCTGCAGCCCCCGGCCGGCCTGGCGCAAGGACGCTACCTGCAAAGAGCACGCAGCTTTTCCTGAGGAACTGCAAGAAGAGGCAGATCAGCATCTGGCGCGGGGAAAAGTGTCAAGTGTGTTATCTTTGAGTAACAACCATGCACAGGTCAACCTACATGTGAAAGGCAACCACAGCAGATGTGGACAAACAATGTGACTCCATACACAGGGAGTCAGATTTTTGAAGTTGCTTGGGGGTTTAGGCAGCCAGATCCTCTTTATTTGGGTATCCCAGTCTCAATACAACCCCAACCCTGCGCAGATCCATCTGATTTCCTCACCCCCCTCCAGTTATAACTCACTGGTTTCCTCCTGGCTTCTCCTCTCCTTTCTCCCAACCTCCTTCTCCTCCGCCTGCTGTGGAGCACTAGCTCTGCCGGCTGACAGGGGTTTTCTGATCTCCAGCCTGGGCACTCGGTGTTTCTCAGCACGGATTCAAACAGCCGCGCTGCCAGGAAGCAGGGAGGGGCCGCGAGGCCTCCAGACTCGGTGCAGAGGCAAAGGGCCTGGGAGCTCTCTGGCGGGGGTCAGAGCAGGCCTGCCTGAGGATGGGTAAAAAATGTGTAGGGGGGAAATCCCACATCCCCCAAAGAATAGTTTGGGAAGACCCTAAATCGGGGAGGGGAGCAAAGGGGGCAATGACCTCAGGCCCTGGTGATTCAAAGGGGGTGGGGGTGCCTGGCTGAAGTGGGGGCTGGAGCCCCAGGCCCTTTATCTCTGGCGGGGGTCAGAGCAGGCCTGCCTGAGGATGGGTAAAAAATGTGTAGGGGGGAAATCCCACATCCCCCAAAGAATAGTTTGGGAAGACCCTAAATCGGGGAGGGGAGCAAAGGGGGCAATGACCTCAGGCCCTGGTGATTCAAAGGGGGTGGGGGTGCCTGGCTGAAGTGGGGGCTGGAGCCCCAGGCCCTTTAAATCACCCTTCCCCAGCTGACTGTCCACAGAACCAGTTTTGTCAATGAAGTCGCTCACACTGATAGCGCGGAAGCGTTAGGGCGCACTGTCAGGTAGCTGATGGAAGGTTGAGGGGGGAGGAAATGTCCCGCTAGCTGGGGAGAAAGCCCCACTGGATGGGACCCCCTCCACCCTGAGCTCCTCCTTGCCCCCCAACCCTTTTGCATCCTCCGCATCCTCAAGTCTTGCCCTGAGCCCTGACTCTAGTCCCTCCCATCCCAACCCCCCCATCCCCAATCTCCTGCCCCGCCCCCACACCTCCCCAAGGCCCTGCCCTGACTCCTGCACCACCCACGCCACCAGCTCCCTTCCCTGAAGGACCTGGGCCATACCGAATACGGCGCACTGTGCCACGCTAGCCGTTCCCATCCGGGGAATTGCTAGCTGGGTATGAGACGCAGCCTGCCACATACTGCAGAGTTTTACTGGCCTTGTGAATGGGTAACTGGTTACGATTACCCGGTGGGCGATGGAACAGCCCCAATCCGTGGTGGGCCTGGCCTGGCCCTGTTTAAATGTTATGTTTAACCATTTAACCAGTTAACGGATTAAACAGGAGTTTACATCCCTACCGTTTTCATGGCCAGGAATGAGGTAGGACCCTAGTCATATCTATCAAACACCCTTTCATCAGTATGTCCTGAAATTCTCTTCAGAACTGGTTGAAGCCTTTTGCCTCTTTGTTTTTTAAGTAATTTGGGGCGTGCTGCGACCGACATCAGGCTGCGGCACCTCCCTCTGCGTACATGGCTGCTGCTTGTCTTTTCTACAGTTTCAGTTTTACCAAGGTTGTTGCTAGTAAAGATTTTTCTGTTGGGGCCTGAGGAAGAACTCAGGTGTGATCTACCCTGGAGCCGTACATGGCCTTATGTGCGGACAGTCCACTATCATAACTTCAGTGCAATGACCAAATCAAAGGCTGCAAACACACACAGAGTGAACAATTAGAAGAGATAAACAATGTTCCCCAGACCTTTTCTTTGGCAGCTGTCCTGGTTGCTATTGGTAACAATTGTAGGTAGATATTATTCAGATGACCATGTGATTTTTCAAACTGTGGGTACTCCTTAAATTTTCAGCAGCCCCGATTCAATAAAACGCCCGTCCTCCCCATCACAGTGGAAGGGCCACAGTGGGTCAGACCAAAAATCCACCTAGCCCTGGATCCTTTCTTCCAACAGTGGCTAGTGCCACGTGAGTCACGGGGAATGAGCAGAAAAGAGAAATCATCATTCACATAGTCCATTCTCCCAGCTTCTGGCAAACAGAAGCTAAGGGCACTTGGAATATGGGGTCATATCCCTGACCATCGTAATAACAACCACTGATGGACCAATCTTCATTTAACTTGCCTAGGTATTTATTGAATCTAGCGATAGTTTTGCCCTTCACAGCCTCTCCACGCAACAAAGCACTTCCTTTCGTTTGTTTTAAACCTGCTGCTCATTAATTTAATTGGGTCACCGTGGGTTTTTGTGGTATGTGAGGGAGTGAAAAACACTTCTGTATTTACTTTCTTCATACTAGTCAAGATTGTATAGACCTTTGTCATATCCCCTCTTAGTCATCTCTTTTGCAGGCAGAAAAAAATCCAGTCTTTTTAATTCTTCCCCATGCTGCAACCGTTCCCTACCCCTATCACTCTTGTGGTCCTTTTCTGTACATTTTCCAGGTCTAATATATCTTTTCTGATATATGGAGTAACCAGAACTGCAAGCACTATTCAAGGTGTGGGTGTACCATGGATTTATACAGAGACAATATGATAGATCCATTTTATTTTATTTCTTCCTTTCCTAAAGGTTCCTAATAGCCTTGTAGGGGTTTTTTTTAGACAGCCATTGCATATTCTGGAGCCAGTTAAAAAAATTGGCATCATGTTAGCTATAGTCCAGTCACCCGCACAGAAACTGAGGGTATGTTTAGACTGCACCCCTCTGCCGGCTGTTGTACGAGGCATAAGGGATATATCAGAAAAGGCTTTCTTTAACGATAGATCACCCTCTAGACTGTCGATTGTTCTGACAAAGCTCCGTGCCGAAAAAAAGTGGCAGCCATTTTTATGCTAATGAAGTGCGGGCTATTTAAATCTCCGCTTCATTAGCAGTTTCGACCAGCCTAATCTGCATCCCTCTGCCGGCAGAGGAGTGCAGTCTAGACATATTCTGATTTAAGCAAAAGGTTACATATGACAGTGAGCAATTCTGCAATTTCCCCTACGAGTTCCTTCAAACTATTCACTTGCTCCAAGTTAGGTACATGCTTAAGGCACCTTTGCTGCGAGAGAGTTTAATTTACACTTTATTGTTGTCCTCTAGCACGGATATCCTGGTCCTATTTATCCCTGTCTGTATTCCCAAGGACACAAGGGCAATGTCTACACTGCAGGCTTTTTGCTCAAGAACTGTTTTGTGCAAGAGTTCTTGCACATGTGCTTTTGTGCAAGAGTGTCCATAGCAGTGTGGACACTCTCTTGAGCAAGAAAGCGCCGATGGTCATTTTAGCCATAGGGGTTTCTTGCTCAAGAAACCCTTGTTGCCTGTCCACACTGCCTTCTTGCTCAAGAGCTCTTGTGCAAGGGGGCTTATTCCTCATGGGGAGAGGAATAACTCTTGTGCAAGAAGCCCTCTCTTCCGACGCTTCACTGTAAATTTACTTGTGCAAGTACACGCGTGCAGTGTAGACGCTCCGCTAGTTTGTGTGCAAGAACGGCTGTTTTTGTGCAAAAAGCCTGCAGTGTAGACATAGTCAAGGAGATGAAAATGGAACTGTCTTACCAACCCCAAACAGTCAAAAATTCTAAAACGGAATAGAAATCTTGAGATTTAAAAAAAAAAGATACACTTGGAATTCTTTTTATTGACCTATGAATTGTTATCCTTTAGGTCACACTAGGGTCACTTTTTGTCCACCACCCTGAGAGCTAGAAACATTTTTTCTTTCTTTCACCTGAAAACTGAGATTCTTCCACCTTCACAGGACTGCCGGAGCCACCAAATATTGGGACAGCTGTGGTAAAATCACAAGAACGGGCAAACATAAAGAACGGTACAGAAATGTCCCTCAGGAAACTGTCCCGTCCACTGAAAAAAGACAACTACTTCGTTTTAGATTTACCGTAAATTAGCGTATATAACCCGCGCATGAGTATTACCCACACCTGTGTATAACCCACGGTTTTTCCTGATTGAATAAAAAGTGTCTTACATACCCCGTGCACGTGGATAGCCCGCGGGAGATGAATCGCGGGTACTGTTACTGAAAGATAACGAGGGTAATTAACTCAGGTGTCATGAGCCTGTAGCACAGAAGCATTTGAGCTCCCAGATACAGAACTGCCAAAGCAGAGAGTAGATGGCCACAGCCCGACAGGGCAGACAGATTAGCTCCTTCGGGGTGAGCTGTCTGCCCCAGGCGGCATGGGAAGGGAAGGTGACTGGGCTTACCCTTCGCACTGTTTCCAACCCTCCCCAAATGCCTTTTGCCCGTGCTGTGCACTCCCCCGGGGTGAGCTGTCTGCCCCAGGCAGCCAGAGCCAGGAGCTGAGCAAAGGAGCTGTGTCTTTAAACAGAGCACCCCCACCCCTTTCTCGGACAGATGCAACAGAGGGAAGAAGGTCGCTGGGTATTCCCACAGCAGGGGAATCTCCTCTCCCTCCCCACAGCAATTACCTCTTCCCTGAATTCTCGTCCCCCTCTGCTCTGCCTGCTTGGTCCCTCCCTGTGGCAGCTGCTCAGGCTACGACAGTGATTCTGATTCGGCACCTCAACCGGCACCCAAGTAAAAACCCCTGTATTACACGCGGACAAGTATAGCCTGCGGGGAAAAGGGGGGGCGGGGTTTGTAAAACTTTGCATAACCCGTGGGTTATCTACGGTAAAACACGGTAACCACTTTTAGATTTACATGGACAGCTTTACAGGCTACTGAACAAAGAATATGGCTCATGGATGGACTGACTGTCCTTGAAGCTTGCGGAATATTCCAGGCCCTCGGGGCTCTGTGAGAACTGAGGCTTGCGGGGGAGCATAAGTCATTTTAGCTCCTGAAGTATCCAGCTCAAAAACATGCAACACGCCTTAGGCTCAGAATTGGGAATCTCGAGCTTCCTGGAGATCACGACAGCTCTTCAGCGTCGGTCCCACTGTATGAAAATGACATTTCCCTGGGGAAAGGGGAAATCCGGCAAGGGTCTAGGCAGGCCTGGGTGACTGCAGGGACCCAGCATCATGGGACCTCAGTCCTTACTGCCTCTGAAAAGGAACCCCTCCATTGTTTCCAACCGAGCCACCAACCACGTGGCTTCCGTAGTGCAGGAGCACGGCCTTCTCACGCCCCCCAGCAGCGGCTGTCAGCGTCCCGTGAAGCCGAGGGTCGCGTATTCAATCAGTGGCTCAGACTGGGTGAAAGACTTTTCTCGGGCTCGTTGCGGGCTGGCGTACAGGCTTGGCAAGTCCAGGGCATCTTCTGTGCAGGGGTCCTCGGGACTCCGGACCTAGAGTACAAATCGAGAGCGAGACCCGCTGAGGCCCGGGAGTCAGTCTGGATAAAAGGAGAGCGCTTGGGGCCTGCCTGTGGGGAGCAGGGCTGGTGTTTGTCTCCCTCCAAGGGACTTCTACCCAGAGCAGGGCCGGGAGCTGTTTTTGGGTCCCACAGAAAAATCGGTCGGGGGCCGCACACAAGTGAGAAACACCCTCCCCCGCAAAGTCCCGCACTGACATGGCCCCTGGATTGAGAAGAAAGACGCTTCCCACATTCCCCTTGAACACCTGAGCCTAGGGGGGCCCTGGCTAGAAGATTTTGTGTGCTCCAGCCCCCCGGCTGGGGGGAGCGTTGGCAGGGGGCTGGATCCAGACAAGGGTTCCCCACCCTGGCCTAGAGCCTACACTGCGTGGTCGATCGCGGACGGGGCTATCTTTAAATAATGACGTGTAATCGTGGAAAGCAGCGATTCATTCGCAAACCGTGTCTGGAGGAAGACCAGCCTTGTGGAGGTGGCTCGTTCAGTAAGGGCTGGGAAGAGGGAAGGCCAAAGAGCGGGGGGAAATGGGTGGGGGTGGTGGAGGTAGGAAGAGGTCAGACGGTAATGCACCGGAACGAGGGGCGCTCCGGGGGCTTCGCAAAGGGGCGGGTTCAGGCTGTGGTGATTTTTAACAAATGAAGCGCTTTGTCCCCAGCAGGCTGCTCTTGCAGGCAGAGCGCGTGGGAAAGAGCATGACAATGCCCAGCACAAGCGTTGGGAACCACACACAGCTGGGAGGAAAACCACGTCGATCCTCAGCCGGCAGGAGCAGCCGCTTCCCCAAGCAGGCGAGTCAGCGCCCGCCCGGC